GTGTACTGCGTCCAAGTGGTCTCACATGGAATAGGCCAGAACTGTGGTGCATACGTGTTCATATACGCATCCGATTGCAGGAAAAGGTCCACCCACGGCCTCTCGGATAGTGAATAAGTCGCACACACTGCTAGAACATGAGAGCATGGAAGGTGGAATATCAGGGGTTTGTTGCATGTACAGGTTCTCAACTGGAAGTTAACAGTGTGTCTATGGCCTCCCTTTCTACCAACTCGCTCCCCCCTATGTGTCGTCACTTGGTAAATATGCAGCCAACGGTTATAGGCATCCACCTTGTAGTATCTTGCTTTTGCTGTGTTCTTCTCCAAAATAGCAGTGACCTTTGGGGGATATACAAGTCCCTGTTCGGCCCTAGTCTCAGCAGATTCTCTTCGTAAGTTGAAGTACCTGTTAACTCTGTGGAAAGTTAACTCTACAAGGGACATAATTGGCATGAACCGAGCACCTTTCAAAACATTGTTAAATGTCTCAGAGAAGTTTGTTGTACATATCCCATGTCTGCGACCAGCGTCGTGAAACAAAGACTACGTAGGAAACGACACTTGGGCAATATACTGTAACGATTTTGTACATGCCTGACCAATCGAAAACAAGTCAGCTTGCAGTTTTCTTTCTTGTCTTTGGTACGCAGCAACCTTGAACGTATCTCTCGTGATGGTGCTTCGCACGTGAGATTTCAAGTTTGAAGCCAAGTGACGAACACAAAACCTGTGATAGGCTCGGGGTTGAGTGAATCCAATGTTAGGATCATTCATTGCTGCAATGATCCCTGCATGTCGATCAGATATAACACATAAGCCATCTTGTTACGTAACTCTATCCCGAAGGCAGCTCATAAACCAAGACCAGCTGGAAATGTTTTCCCCCTCAACCAACGCAAATGCTAGTGGAAATACTTGGAAGTTTCCATCCACACCTGTAGCAACCAAAAGTGTTCCTTTATACTTCCTGTACAAGTGCGTCCCATCGATACATATAACAGTCATACAATGTTTGAAACCATCGATACAAGGACCAAATGCCCAAAACACTCGTTCAAATTCTTCCATGTTGCTGGTATACCTGCCCTCCACTAGAGCTTTGTGTTTCCATATGACTACGGTTCCCTGGTTTGACTGTTGCAGTGCTTGCATGAACTGAGGAAGTTTGTTGTAAGAACTCTCCCAATCCCCAAAAATTTGAGTGATGGCTTTGTCCTTGGCATACCATGCTCTTTTATAAGGAACTTAAAAATGGAATTGCTTGGAGATAAGTTCCTGAATGAATTCAACTTTTAGAGTCGGATCTTTCTGCACAAAGGACTTCATAAACTCAGATATTATGGACGAATCCAAGTGTGAGTGATCAGTAGATAGTACTTCGGTAACACAGTTCTCCCGGTGCGGGCCTTTGTATGTGACTATGGTGAAGCCACGCGAGTGCTCACTTGTCCTGGTACCCCTTAGAGACCATCCACATTTCTTCTTGCAACGCAGATGAAGGACACTCTCATTTGAGGTCACTGTGGTGTAGAATTGATTTCTCTGTATAGAATACATCTTCACCATTTCTTGAAGAGTTTTCTTACTATCAAAGTACATCCCCTTCTCGAATTCTCCCCCTGGAACAAATGATGTATGACTCCCTGAATTGGCCCAATACTCATCAACTTCATAATTCTCATTTATCTGACTAAACCAGGGTACTGCAGTTCTAACCAAGGGCTCATCAATTTCCATCTGCCCATCTTCAAGATCCATGTCATCAAGCCCATCATACTCCTCCCCATTATCGTCCTCATCATCTGTATCCGCATACACATCGTACACCGACAATTCGTTATTCACAACAAAATGACTTGGGTCTTCTTGAGACGGTGATTCTTGAACCTCATCTCGCATCGGTGACGGAGCCACGGTGTTTGATGTCGAAGGACCGGATTGGTCGAATATTGTTTCACAGCCCCCCGCATGTGCAGGTGATGCTATATGAGGACTAAACGGCATCTGAAATTGATCGTCATGCAGCAAGCGACTGAAAGTTCCCATCCCATATTCATTAGATGGAATGTGGTTTGAAGGGCCTTGGAAGGACGCGGTGTTGTAATCAGAGACATATGTAGGATGTTGTTCTGCCCAAGTACTTTGTTGGGTACATATAGGCACTGTTTCTACATATATCTCATTGGGAACACCCTTCATTGTAACAATGCTTCTCAAAGCTTTTAAATGTTTGTTTGTGGAGACAAGTAACACTTGAACCCCATGGCCAGTCTCACACCTCATTTTAAGGTTCAGTTCAACATTCATTGGGTTTGAGCCGATACTACTGTGAACCTCATTCATCAGATCATTCACAGTCATGTTCGGTTCAAGTGTTATAAGTTCCATATTCCCTCTACTGTACTCAACATTTGATCCATCGCACATAATTTCACCTCCCCACCGGCATAACAACGCTACATTTTATGAAGCCATATTCTACATAACAACCATAACACATTTAAGGATAATCAAATGCTAAAACAACGTAAAAAAAAAACCCCTAATTTAACAATGCACAACATACATAGCTTTGATAATGGAAAGTTATATCAAATTTGAAGAACCTACATGTTTAGCTCATATGACAACAACAAGACAAGCCCATTCTCACTATCAACATTTTCATCACCAATTTCATTAACTCTTCGTACTGCATACAACTATCAACAAACTATTTTCATCACCAACTATCACATTGCAATCAACAATTTTGTCTACATTGTTCTTCAATAATGTACTATATTATCATCAACAATTAAAAACAATTTCTGACATTTTCATTACTAATTAGCAACAAATTAATACACTCTACATCACATTTTGCTACAACATACAAAAACTACCAAATATTCAATGTAAAATTACACTACGAATTTAGGGTTTACCTGGAATTAGAGAGTGAGTGAGTGAGTGAGTGAGTGAGTGAGTGAGAGAGTGAGAATGAGAGTTGCAGGGGCGGCGGCAGCGGAGGTGGTTTCGGTGTTTGTGAGAATGAGGGTTGCTTTAGTGAGAGAAAGAGTGTAAAATTCGGTTGTGAGAATGTGAAAAACGCCCAGAAACTGGGTTTATGCCCCGCAAGAAAAGCTGCCTCAAGCAGCGTTTATTGTACAGGAATAAAACGCAGCCTAAGGCAGCGTTTCATTTAAATGTATAAACGCTGCCTGAGGCAGCGTTTTATAGTATTGGGGTATTTTTTTTTAAAATAAATTATGAAATACGAAGTTTCACCCAGTTTATTACGATGCCCTCGACCCAATTTGATAAATAGTACAACTCGTTACAACAACACTATCCACTACGATCTGAAGCTCAAAAACAAGGGTTCAAATGTCTATAAGGGAATTTATTACGATGCCCTCGACCTTACCTTTTACTACAAACCCAAATTTAACGGCGTTTTGATTGGAAATGCCACTTTTGCCCCTTTCTACCAAGGTCGTCTAAAGGCTACCCACCGTGTTGGGGATATTGTGCTTAGAGGGGTACAATGGGAAAATGATACCGTGCCCGCGGTGTTTAGGGTGGAGCTAGCGACCGCGGTGAGGTACAAGAGCATGTTTTGGAAGACCAAAAGACACCATTTGGTAATGGGAGTTGACTTGAAAGTCAATGAGCAAGGTAGTCTAGTTAAGGAAAAGGACAATAAGGGAATAAAACTTATTAGCTCTAAAGGTGAAAAGAATAACAAGGGCTGTTTAGAAGTGGTGGGTGTTTTGATTATTTTGATTTTCATTCGTTCTTTGTAATACTTGTTTAATTTGCATTTTTGAATTTAGCTTTAGAGTAATACTCGTATTTTGGGTACTTTGCTTTTTTGCGTATTGTAATATTCTGTAGTTGTTTTAGTCAATTTTTTGCATTATTTGTGTGGTTGAGCAAAATCATTGATTAGAGTTAAATTGTCCTATGAAAATAATTGTTTAATGATTATTTTTCTAAAATAAATAATTAGTTAGTTGTATTTGAAATGATATATGAACGGGTTGCTAACCCAAATTCTCCTTATTATATCCATATTTTGGACGGTTAAATAGCTAATAGCTTATCACCATTTAATAAATTATTATTACTCGTACTACTTTAATAATAAAAAAGTTTAAAATAAAATTGAGATGAATTAGCCAATATTAATTTTTTAAAAAAAAGACCTTTTATCAAGCTGGTTAGATTTGGCATAAGATAATACTCATAGCAATTATTGATTTAAAATAATTCCATGATGTACCGTGTACGTCCATTATTTGACCATGACCATTTTGAACTAACTAGTTGCACAAAAAAAATTAAAGTAAGAACAATTATCTTCTGTCAATAAAATTCATTAATACAATGCTACGTATTTATATCCTTATTGGACTTGATCCTCTTGCAAGATAACCCAGCTTATAAACACTTGATAACATGTGAAGCCATAAGCCCATAAATGATTGTGTGTTGTATACTTGAAGAGTTGTATGACTTGTATCCCATTAGAGTTAAGTTAGTCAAATTATGACAATAATTAATCTCAATTCACATTTGGGATATTTTTTAAAATTAATATCGTAGTGATAGACATTTTTTTTTGGCAATGTGAAATCAAACAATTAATCCTGACTCACACGTGTGTTATAATCGTAAACAATAGTACATGCTCTTGGACTCTTGGTTGTACAATCTATAAAAATGGAATTAAATTTAGCTATGATTATTACTCCGTAATATCTCAAAACTACAAGTCGAAACTCTTTTGAGCTACCCCAAGTAATAGTTGACCACTTTATTTACTGTATTTATTTTAAGAAAATAATTCTTTCTTCAACTGGGTTTCAAACATAGTACGGAGAACTTTTTTAAATTGGTCTTAAAAAGTCTTTTTTATATCCTAATCAATGTTTAAGACAGTTGGTAACACCTACTAATTATTTTGTTTTTGATTATAACTTGTTTTAATTTGTCCTTTATAAGTTTTTAAGAGGATGACATCACCTACAATCTAGTATAAATCTTGGATAACAAAGCACCTTGACTAATTAAATTCATTACATTCATTTCCACATTAATTTTCTTGTAAATAAACATTGCATTATATTTCTTCTAAACAAGATTAATTAATCTTGGCGACTACTATCTAGCAAGACAAGCAACGGCCATGGGTAAGGCTGGATCACGGGTTAGTTGCGGCATCGGCTGTATAATCGTACTAGCCATAGCCGGTGTATTAATCTGGCTTCTTGCTAAGCATCGTTACCCGAGTTTCTACGTTGATCAATTTTCCGTTTTTTCCCGCCAAGAAACTACAAACTCCCTCAAGAATTACACCGTTCATTATGATCTTTGGATAAAAAATAATCTTCAACCTAACGACAATTTGGGAATTTACTACGATGCCCTCAATGTAACGTTTTATTACAAATCAGACGTTAATAGCTTCCCTATTAAAATTGGTGATGCTACTTTTAGCCCGTTCTACATACGTCGGTATAGAAGTACGCACCGTGCCGGGAGTTTCGATGCTAGAGGGGTAAAATTGGAAAATAGTACCGCGCCTCCGGTGATTTTTCGGGTGGAGCTGTCAACGGCCGTGAGGTATAGGAAACCGTTGTGGAAGGGGAAACGACACCGTATGGTGGTAGGGGCTGACTTTAAAGTCAACGATCAAGGTAGTTTGATCAATAAGGAAGTTAAACTCAAGTCAAATGCTAAAAGGAATGGTAAAGTTCGTCTAGAGTTGATGGGTATTTTGGGGATTTTGGTATTCATTCTTTCTTTGTAATAATACTCCGTTGTAATTTTATTTTTATTTTTTTATTGGCATTTTCTCCCCTTATTCAATTTTTTTGTTTGTTATAAAAAAATAAGTTATTGTTTGTTTATTTTTCATGCTAAATTGTACAAAGTACTTTGTATGTTTACAGAAACAAATTTGAAGACAATCTTTTGAATTTTTCTTAGTTGAGTGAAAAAAACCCTGTTATGGTATAGTAAAACCACAATATTCACTTGAATAGTTGTTAAAATTCAATAGTTAATTGACTTCTACCTTATTTACATATAATATTTTAATTATTTTTAATATACTCATGAACTTATTTACTGGAGATTTTGTTACATTTGTGACATCGCCTCAATTTTTATGTATTCAATAATGACTATGTTATGTCTTATATATTAGAGAAGGTATTGCGTGCGGACGTTCGCACGTAACAGTTCGTGCGGGAGACTTGGCTGATATGTTTTACTTGTTGGCTGATATGTTTCATGTATTGGCTGATATGTTTTATTTGTTGACTGATATGATTTTTTTGTGTTGGCTAATATATTTTTTTTTATGGCTGATATATTTTTTTTTTCCCCTTTTGTTGGCTGATATTAGACATCGTTTGGCTTATATATTTCAATAGTTGGATGATATATTTATTTTGTTGACTGATATGTATATTTTATTTGTTGGCTTATATGTTTCATTTTGTTGGCTAATACGTTTACTTTGTTGGCTTACCTGTTGTTTTTGTTTGCTGATTTCATCCTTTTGTTGGCTAATATGTTCCTTCTGTTGACTTATTTGTACCTTTTGTTTGCTGATTTCATCCTTTTGTTGGCTGATATGCTTCTTTTGTTGGATGATATGTTCCGTCTCTTGGCTGATAATTACCTTTTAGTGGCTGATATATTACTGTTGTTGGCTGATATGTATCTTTTGTTAGCTGATATGTTCCTTTTGTTGGATGATTCATTTTTAGTAATGTCTGATATGTTCATAGTATTGACTTATATCAAAAATCGATTGGTTAATATGTTTGTTTTGATTGCTGATATGATACAATATATAATTATTTCCTTCTCACTTTCTATCTACCCATTCTTCTCCGTAAAATCATGGGCAAATCATACTAGTATAAGCCAAGATCTTTTATCTCTCTTCTAATCCTATCACCAGATTCACCACCAACACAACCATCACCACTATCTCTCTCCTTCTTGCCGTTACCCCACCCACCACCAACACAACCAACCACACTCTCTCTCCTTCTTGCCGCAGCCTCCACCGACCACCACATTCTCTTCTTCCAGCTGCAGTCACGCCGGAGCCGCAGAGCTAGGCAAACCAGCAGTGATTCGCACCATTCCACCTTCGCGAACGCCACCACCACCAGCGAACTCCACCTCCGCAAACGCCACCTCCATCAGCGTACGACTCCATCTCCGCTAACACCACCACCACCAGTGATTCGCAACCAGGCAGCGAACGCCTCCACCTCCATCATCAATTTTGATTTTTCTGGAAATTTTGAAACTATGAAATACGACCCTTTTTTCTCTGATTTTTCTGAAAATTTCATCTCCTTTGGAATAATTATATTGGTTTATGCAATTGAAGAAGGAAAGAGAAGGTAAGAGAAGGAAAGAGAAATGTGCGGCAGCTGCACGAACTGTTTCGCACCCAATAGTTTGCATATATATTAAGAGTAATTTAGACAATTCTCTCATAAATAGTATCAATATTACAAATAGGAATTAAAAAAAGGGGCGGAGGAAACATCATTTTTTAAAATTATTTTTATCTATTAAAAAATTAAATATAAAAAATGGTGAAAGTTATAAATTGACAAATATAAAAGTGAAAAATACATAAAGTATACTGATGTTTTAAAAAGAGAGAATAATTAATTAATACCCTAGTTGTTCTCTCTTAGCTTTCTCTCTCTACCCCCCTTCTCCTCTAGGGTAATAATTTTCCATTGAGCCGAAAACAATCAAACAATTACTTTAGAAACTAGACTATTTTAGATTGACCCATTCCTTTTGAATTTCTTTTAATTAGTTATTTATTTCAATAAGCATACATATATGAGTGGTGTAAACTCGTACACTAGTCTCCCTACACTGTAGTTGGTGTAATTGTTTCTTTCCAATAGGGAACAGAATTATCGTAGCTTATATTTTAGGATTTATTAATAAATTTATCTTCTGTCCTATAATTGATTGTTATTAATAAAGAATAATTCGGGATCACAAAAGTTTCAAATTTCAAATCATTCAAATGAATCAAGATGAAATTCATGAAAAATAACACATTAACGGAAAAATAACACATTAACCAAAGATTTCATTTCCCCAAAATTAGTTTTCTCTCTCTCCAAATATTCAACTTTCCATAATAATTTTATTTTTCTCTCTCTAAAATTATTTTCAACTAAAAATAATTCAAGATTTTATTTTCAAATTTCAAAATTCAAAATAACATATGTTAAAAGAACATACGTTAAAGAACATAAGTTAAAGAACATACGAGCATAAAAACGCCAAATTCAAAGAACATACGAGTCAAATTAAAAGAACATATTTTGTATTATTGAAACCCAAAAAACATGTTTAATCAACATATGTTAAAGAACATATTATTAAACATATATAGGTATGTTCTTTGTTAAACACAATCATGTTCTTTTTCAAACACTAGTATGCATGTTCTTTTTCAAACACTAGCATGTTCTTTTTTTTTTCCATGTAATATGTCTAATGTTCTTTTCGGGTGCACCATGAGCATGGTGCACCTGGGTGCACTATACTATTTTCACATGTATTTCTAAGTTTTTTAGTTTTATTTTTGCCAATTGCCAGATCAGATTCAATTTTACGGGTTTTGAACATGTATTTTCGACCCAAATCTTGGCTCGACCAACTAATCGAATTTTTTTTACCATTGGCCCAGCCCCAGCCCGGCATTTTATTCAATGATATGATCATGGCTTCAATGAAGGAAGCCTTTGTTTGATTTGTTTTTATGTACGAAGTACAGTATTTGTTAAAAGAAATTTAATGTTTCAAGAAGAATATAATATTTGACATGCATGCAATTTGTTTGTTGACATGGTTGTTGTAGTAGACGTCGCTCATGTTAGTTGTTGTTAATTGTTAGATACATAACTTAGTTGTCATGCACATGAGTCGTGACAATTAAGTGTTCTAAAATTAATTGTTGAGTTTTTAAATGAACAAAATTAATTATTTTCCAATTTTTTTTAAAAAAAATGAATTATTTCCCTACCTTCTATAAACAAGCTACCTCCACTTCATTTTATGACCTGTTCACTTCAACTTAATTTCAGTTCAATTCAGATCAGCTCAGCTCTAATCAATTCAGTTCAGTTCAATTCCTTCAGTGTAGCTCAGTAAATACGAATAGGTCTTTAATGCTACTATTACTTTTGGTACCTTGTGATTCCAAATCTATAACCCAAAATCAAATTTCAATCAATCCTATAAAATTTCCTCATCGCTAGCCGCATTGTAAAAGCAGTAAAACTAACAAATAACATGCTCTGTACATGGTCGGTTTTGATACCACGTGTAAGCGTGTAACGATGATTTATATTTAGACAAAATTGGCTTAAACAACATCAACCCTGGCCATCAAGTTTACTTGGTCGTACTTCTATTATTGTTCAGTTAACTAAATATTTTGTGCATATACTATGGAGTATATATATACACCATATATATCTATAAAACTCCTTAATACATTCCTAACACTTTGTATGGAGTACTAATTGATAAAATTATAATTTAAAAAATACATGATAAAATGACATGTCAATCGATGTAATTAATAATAATCAATTTACATCATTTTAGTTTCTTCGTTTTTTTTTTTTTTTGAGAAGATCATTTTAGTTTCTTCTTTGGGCTCTTGAATTATCAATTTTCATTATCAATTCACATTATGTTTCTTCTTTGGGCTCTTGAAAAGAAGAGAAAAAAAAAAAACAAACAAAAAGGACTTTCTCTAACTCAAAAAGTCTCGTCAAAAGTCTTTTTCTTTTATATTCTATGTTACTATCTAATGATCTAACCATTTTCACACATACAGTTGGTAACGCCTATAATGCTGTTTTTAATTTATTAAGGTTTTTTTTTTTTTTTTAATTGGAGATGGTATCAATTGTCTACTATAAATTCAAAAAAACTAAACGCTAGAAATACATAACAACTTTCATAGAAATTTCCTTTTTTCAAGTCAACATAATTAAAACCAATTAATGGCAAGGGTTAAAGAAAGTATTGGCTGCTTCATCGTCCTTGGCATAATAGCTTTAACCATCTGGCTTGCTATAAGGCCTAAAACACCCATATGCTCTATAGAAGAATTTACGGTTTTCGCCCTCCGAGAAAAAACCACCAATTCCACCCTTCAAAACAACAACACTATCCATTACGATCTTAAGGTCAAAAATAGAAGATCGAGCGTCATAGGAATTTACTACGATGCCCTTAATGTCACGTTCTCTTACAAACGTAACCACCATAGCTTTCCTATTGAAATTGGAGATGCTAAATTTGGCCCCTTCTATTTGCGTAATTATAGGAGTACTCACCGTACGGGGAGTATCGATGTTGGAGGGGTACAATTGGAAAATGATACCGTGGCGTCGTCACCGGTGGTTTTTAGGGTGGAGGTGCTAGCAAATTTGAGGTACAAGAAACCAATATGGAGGAATAATCGGTACAATTTGTTGGTAGGAGCTGATGTGGAAGTCAATGATGAGGGTAATTTGGTAAATAAGGGAGTTAAACTCAAGTCTAAAGCGGGAAGAAATAGTAATTGCAATTTTTATATAATTGGCATTTTCACCCTTATTCAACTTTTTTATTGTTTCTTACAAAAAAATATATATTAATTTTATGTTTATTTTTCATGCAAATTTTATTGGTAAAATACAGAAATAACTGTTAAAATCAATAATAAATAAATAATTAGAACTAATACACTACCATCGGTACAAGTATCTTAGTGGCGCACGACCCCTAAGTTTAACGCATTGCTCTCGTAATTCGTGCATCCGAACCCAAAGAGTCGAATTACTCAAAAACTGTTTTAATCTCAAAGGGTGGGATTGTGTTTTTGTATTTAGGTATCTTATCCATGAATTGAATAATGGAAAAAGTCCCTCTCGTATTTGTATATGCCCCCCAAACGGAAGCCAACCGACCCCAAGAAGAGGCATTACACTACAGCAAAGGAAGAACAAATTATTCAGATGCATAAAGGTTGGGAATTGGAAAATATAAAATAAAAACTTATCGGCTAATTATTCACTAGTTGAAGATTAATTTTCTTTTTTCCCCTTTCTATATTGCAGAAGAAGAAATTCCCTAATCATAGGTCCCGCAGATACCTCATAAATTGGAGGGGAAAGATAGAAGAAAGCCTACACAATAAAAGTATTATATTAAAAAGATAAAAATACATATTCCCAATCTACATATGAAACTCAAATGAATAAAA